GTCAGGTGACAGGAAGAGGAAGGCCAGGACCCTACAAATGGCAAGTGGAGAAGGCCAAAGGGGCAGCAGGGAGGTGGACTCCCAATGACTACAGTGCTGGTGCAGCAAGACTGTGCCATGCCCTGAGCCATCCTCATGGTCATCTAAAGTAAGCAGGCATGTTGCCTCTCTTGTTTAATGTTAACACTGGTGGCTTGGGTGAGGCTATTTGGGGAAGGAGAAGGCCTCATTGGGGGCCCACTGCAGTGTGGGGACCCCAGCACCAGAGAGGGCTCAGTATTCAGGGGTGAGCTGACCCCAGTACCACAGAGGGGCAGAAGCCTGAGTGAGGTTTTGGGGTTTTTTTGAGCTAGAGCCTGGGAGTCAAACCCTGATTAGTGGGGGGGGGTTTGACTGATAGGCCTAGCTAGAGGAAAAGGGGTAGGCCCACAGTGGCCTAGACCCCAACATAAAGAGAAATTTACAAATACCATCTGTGAGGCTTGGGCTGTGGTGTAGGGAAGGAACGGAGCCACAGATAACGCCCCCTGGCATCAGGGCATACAATGGGCAGCCTCCCGCTTAATTAACAATAATTAACAACAAGGCATGGCAGGCAAGAAAACAGGTGGTTGGCCCATAACAGGTGGGTGGGGCCACCAGTAGATGAACCCCAAGGAGGCCCCCCTGTTACACTGCCTTTATCTGTATACTTTTCCTTATATGAGATTCAGTCAAAAAGTAATGCTGCCTATTCTTTTTTTCCTTACTGAAGAAATATGCAACCTGCATGGAAAATTTGGACATCACCACTGAACACACAGCTGTTTTTCAACATAATCTCCTTCTCCATCCATGACCTCTTTCCACCTTCAAACAAGAGCATGTATTCTGATATTGTAAAGACCTTATTCTTGGCGCAAAGCCTGCATCACTCTGTCATCCCAAAAATGCTGCCCTTGCAGTTCATCCTTCATCCGCTGGATTGTACAAAGGATGGAGCAACACAGTCCATTCAAACAATGGGACTGCCTCTGTAATGCGCAAGCTGGTGTGTGGGTCAGCCTTATTATACAGAAACACCATCTCAGACATGTCTCTTTAGGGTTCTTTGCATGTGATATTTCAGTTTCTTCAGGGTCTTGACACAGACCTTTATAGGTCCCTTAGACAAGAAGTCCATGGCTTGCTTAGATATCCATGGCTTGCTTAGAAGATAAAAATTAAGAGACATTATATTCTGACTCACCCTCATACAAAGTACAACATTAAGTTACAATCTACCTCTTAACTCGCACTGACTTCTTTATAGATTTTCAAGGGATAATTCAGGTAGTAAAGGCCAAATTATGTAGGAGAAATACTATTACTGATACCTGGTGGCCTCCATATCTATGAGCCAGAGGAACAAATCCAAATACTACTTTCCCACCACTGACAAGCTGCAGAAAATCATCTGTTTCAGTGACAGACACATCAAGGTCCAAAATCTCTTCAAGAACCACCTGAGAAAAAGAAATTATTTGAAAATTACCAAAACTTCTGGAAGCAAGTTTTTTTTTTCTTTTTCCAAATAATGGTGTGTTGCTGAGTAAGACACCACTAAAATTAAGGTGGAATTTATGTGTGACATTTTGCATGCTCAATTTTTCTAATAATTTGTAAGAAATACATATTCATACAACAAAAACACTATATTCTAAAACCTAACCTTTGAAACGGCCACAAGAAGTACTCTGGATTTGAATGGAGTAGGGTAGGCAACTGAAAAAATGCAGTCTCTCACTTGACGAACATAGTTTTCCTGAACAGGATCAACTGGCAGAGTTGCTGGGGGGCGGGAAAAAAGCAGTAAATCTTTAAAAAAAAAAAAAAAAAATTGTAGGTGCATTACTATGGACAGAGTACTTCCTCTGAAGTTAAAAAAAATCAAATATTTTCAAATGAGTGAACAAGATCAAATAACATCCAAAACCAAAACGTATCCTTATTTTAGACAGCAGGAGCTGAATCCACAGCTGCATTCAGTGTAGTTGTGGGCAGGGGGGAGAAATAAAGGATATTATTTCTGATCCAACTCTTCCCACCCCCGCCAAAATAAATCTGAAATCCAGCTAGGCCCACACAACTCAGGGCTGCCTCAAATTACACTCAATTGCATTAAAAGGCCATTTCAACAGCCAGGAATTGCCAGAGTACAGTAGTGTGAGAACCATGCCCAAAGGCACAGTCCAAGCCCCAGTGCCCCGGTGCCCAAGGGCAGACAGCAGACAGTCCATACGCCAAGCGAGTCCCCACGCCAGCTTTAGGGTTGCTCTGCACAATGCAAAGCAGTTAACAGAGGCAAGAGCCTCTGGCTCTTCCTGCACCATAACTTGTCTCCTCCAGCCTCAACTATTCTTCTTTGCTCAGGGCTATTTCACATCTTCACTAGGGACAGAGAAGCCAGCAGTAACACATTTTAAGACCCAGAACTGGCTGGGGATATATTAACATTTTCAAGAGATTTTCACTAGCAGCCATTTTGAAATCCCTTACTAAATGTACCTCTGGTAAATTTGCCAGATGCATTTTTGCAACAACAAAAAAAATGTACAGTGGTTATTCATAAATTATTCCTAGCTCTTGAAGCTGGTTGCTAGAATCATTATTCAGTTCCTACTCTTGTGGGCGACTGCCAAAAAACCACCCTGCTGAGTTTAGGGGGCTTGTATGCTTACAGGCAATTTTAGTTTTTGAGAAGCCTCTCTCTGCCATGTGTTGCATGATGATGTATCATTGTCTAGGTGTGAGAGCGAAAGTGTAGGGGATTTAAAATCAATCACCCGATTGCACAATCCAGGATAGCTTTGTCCCTGTACTGGGCAAACTGCTAAAGCAAACCCGAGACTGCAGGTAAGAGAGGAACAGTGGAAAAAAATCCTGGTCATGCCCTGTTCACACTCTTTCAGCTTCCACTCTCCCACACAGGCCTCTTTGATGTGCACTGGGAAAGTGGGCCAAGGCTGCCAAGTAAAGTGAGATCTGGGGAGCCCCTAAATGCACATCAAGCAATTACTGGGGACAACCAGAGAAGAAAGCAGGGATGGGGGTGAAGGTCAGAGGTTTAAAAGGAGTGCACCAAGAGGGCACGGGCAGCAGAGCAGTGCCCAGGGGCCCTCGAGTAAGTCTAAGGAGCCAGTGGCCGCTGCTCAGTGAAGCTCTGGCCACAGACGTCAGGGGACCAGGGACAGGAAGGCGGCTCGGCAGTCCCCGGCCCCCCGGTACCAGCGCCTTTCTTGGGGAGGTAGGTGGCCTGCTCGGCTAGTGCCAGGAGCTGGGTGGGGCCGGGGCCGGGGCCAGCCCAACCCGCAGGTCCTGGAGGAGGCGGTGAGGGAGCCGCAGGCTGGGGCAGCGCAAGCGGCGTCTCCCGCTGCTCCAAGGGGCGGGTGTTGGGGGGCAGGGCAGGGCAGGGGGAGCTGCCCGA